CTTCCCCTTCCCCTGCCCGCCCGGGGCCGGCGGTCCCGCCCCAGCCGGCTGAGGGCTGTGGGCAGCTCCGCCCTGCGAGCCGGCTGGGAAACTAGTGTGGGGGGGCGGGCAGAGCTTCGCGGTGGGAGCCGCGCTGCTGCGTACGGTACGGGGTCAGGAACGGCGCGGGATCGCCGACAGCCAGCACGGCGATATCTCTCAGCCGTGTAGTGACAGCTTTCACTCTTGCAACAAAAAGCGTGAGTGTTTAGTTCCTGCTGCTGTTGCCCAGTTTCACTAGGCAATTTTTAACGTTGAGGAAAGGTAAGTCCCACAGTCTGGAATGATGCCGTGTATCTGCAGGCTCATACTGAAGGGGAAATGGCATGTAAACTGCGGACGAGAATGAGAGCTTTTAGGAAGCTGAGGAGTGTCTGGTGGGATCTGGCATCAGTGATTGCTGTGGAATTTACGAGCTGCAACAGAATAGAGAAGCAACTGATAGGAAGAGAGGGCTTTGTTATCTACAGCAAGAAATGGACACTTGATGGAGATGGACTGGGAAGGTTACGAAGAGATGGAAGAAAAGAGGTGTGCTCTTGATGGACTGAGACGATGATAATTAGGCCTAAATTAGAACTGCTATGAAGTCACCATGAAAGGAACTAAGTGAACAACAGTTTTGAATTTATTTATCAACACCTGTTGATACACAAGGTGCAAGAGGGTTTTAGGGGTAGAGCTCTTAAAATAAAATTATTTTTAAAACAAACAAAAACCAAAACAAACAAACAAAAAAAGCCAAACAACATTCAAGATGAGAAAATTTTACTGGGAGAACTTTTCTGTAGTTTTTATAGAAGTTCAGTGATCTGAGAAATTTCACTGCCACCAAATGGGCTTTAAAATATAATTGGAAAATTACATATGAAATTTACTCATTACTGATGTCTGAGACTAGGACTTCATTACATTGCCGTAGGAATCCTTGTCACCTCTGTCTCCCCTCCTGTCCCAGTAAGGTAACAGGCAGGGTCTCTTCATGCTTGTACATCCAGTTCTCGGGAAATAGATTCCTGTGCCCCATTGTCTTGAGATACCTCCCTGCCATCTGCATGCAGTCACTTCCCACTAGGGCACAATGCCTCAGGAGGACTTTTGCTGGAGGTGCCCTGCTGTGATCTTCCTAGGGAACAGAAACAGGACACTCCCGTGAAAGAGGAGAAGCATTTTTCCTCCCGAAGGGGTGTCACGATGTTCTTTATAACTTCATGCTGAACAAGTACACCAATCCATGTGTCAGGGAACTCTTAAGTCCTATTGTATCATCATCTTAATTCCAGCCCACGGTTTAGTCTCAAAAGCATTGTTAACAACCCCTGAGTTTTACAGCAAACTTCAACAAGCTCCCAACTCCCACAACAAACTTCAGGTCTCTGAACTTTTGGCTAACAAGTTCACAATTTAACATGCTCCCAATCCTAAAAGGTTTCAGGTTCCCTAGTGGTCTGGATCAGGGGTAAGAAAGGAGGGAGAGACAACCCAATCTACTTTTTTTATAGTATATTTATATTGTGCCCATGTGTTATGTAAAACAGATTTTTGCACTATTTTGTTCATGCATGCAATAATAAGCCCTTTAGAGCCCTCCAGGGAATGAGGTCTCTGGGGATCCCGGAGCCCTCTGTAGTGAGGGACTCAGCCTCTGTCTTGATGCAGGCACGCTGAGTGTGAGTCTCAAGGCACATTTAATTTTCTCAAGAAAAGAAAGTTGGCTCAGTACAGCACTGGCCCACCTCCACAGGACCCTCTTTTACAGTCACAGCTTTCCTGTCACAGCAGTCAGAATGTTTGAGACAGAACATGCTCATGTGCCTGGTCCTCCAAAAGTGGAGTAAGGTTGTCTCCCAACCCGTTGATCCCTCGTGCAGTGATTCATCCCATCCAAAGGAGGTGGCATACCTGAGCCTCATTTGTCCTTCATTTTCCTTCAAAGAGGGAAACATGGAAGATGTGTCCTTCAAAAGACTACTAAAGATCTGCTAATTTAGCACCTTATCTTAGATGCTTCAGAAGAAAGACGAAGAAGTCACAGCCAGCTTTGTGTCTCAATCACAGGTACTCACACTTCAGGTTCCTTAACTGACTGCTGGAGAGCCTCCTTCTGCCACTAGGACTCTGTCGCTCTATTGGGAACTGCGAGAAGCACGACACAGACTCTCTTGGGAGTTGAACAGGAGAATTTCGCCCCGGTTTATTACCTCAGATCTTTTTTATAGACCGATACGTGAAAATGCAGAAAAGAAAACTCTTATTGATTAGTAAACTAACACATCACCATCATTGGTCAGTGGGGCTCACCACCCCTCGACTTTCTCTGGCAAGAAAACAAGAAACTGACAAACAGCACCTGCAAGGCTGTCTTCCTCCTTATGATTTCCCAGGCCACCTTCTCAGGCGAGACTGAGGAAGTTATGCAGCCTGCTATTTCACAGACACTGTGCTCCCTGCTTCATAGTTAGCATCCATAGGACCCAACTGTTTCCATTACAGATGTAACTTTTAATGCAAATAATGAATAAGAAAATGCAAAAAATAATATTTGTTTTTAGGGTGAACTACATATGCATGGGTAGCTCAACGTAGCTGTCCTGTGAAAACTGCAGAAGGTTGCTTGGGGTAATTTGTCTAGAGTTTGTAGGGATCACAATACCAAAGTGGCGGCTATTTGGTAGCACAGCAACAGAAAGGCAAATTAGATTTTTTTTTTTATGTAGAAATTCTCAATCTATATATTCCTCAATTAAAGTAATGTAAGAAAATTTGATATTTGTATTCAAAACATTTAATGTTCTAGGAAATAAATTGATTTAGGCATTGCTACTTTGCCTGTGAATTTGCCATTTCAGTACGTATCTTGTAGCTATATAGTGTGCAATATTTCAATAAGCAAAGACAAACATTTACACTTCTAATACAGTACATAAAGTCTATACATAGTCATCCAGAGGATGTGCTCGTAAACCTCAAAAAAGCTGTCTCTTGCCATGACTCACAAAAGCAAAATAAAGAATTATTCAATACATTGCCATTGTGCGTGTCAAAAAATCTGGAGGAAAATTTGCCTTGATTGGAATTTGTGTGGTGTCAAGTGACAGTTTCATGCATGTATCAGGAACTGTTTCCTTACTTCATGTGTTC